TGATTTGGATATTTTTTAAGTTAATTGTGGTCGAAGAAATGAAATTTCGCAAGATCAATGGCTTTAATCGTTGTGCTTTGGCATACCTATGTTCAAGGAGTTTGTTCCTGGTATCCTTGTAGATTTTACTTATATACCAATAAGAGGTAGTTATCCATTTGTTTGCACATTATGACATTTGCGTCTAATGTGGAAGGATTTCATTTAGTGTAGAGTTATCCGTACGTTTGATGTTCATGTTTTGTGCAGAGTTTATATGTATGCATATGGGTCGAAGTTATCCATACTTTCACTGTTTGGTTTTAAAGTATATATGCCCTATTACATAGTGGCAACTTCATTTCATGTTTATTGCAGTCAATTGCAAGAAAGAGTATCACAATACTTCTTAGTTGCTTCAAAGTACGTGTTACAAATAGTGGTATATCCTATACATGTGACATTTTATTCTTTTGTAATGGAGTTAACATATTTATTCTGATTTATCGACATTTCTTTAATTTGTTATTTGAAAAATTGGTAGAATCATGGAATATGTATAATTTCGTCAAAGCGAATCCTCTCAGCAGAGAATTAATCGATTATTATCAGTATGATTGTAATACAATATATATTTGCTATAACGGTTAGTCTTCAGGAGGAAATTTACTCTGTTCTTGCTACATTTAGTGTTTCTATGAGCATGATAATGTACATGATGTATCACTTTGTTTACAACTCAGTTGTTGGATTTTGGCGTCCTTTCTTTAAATGACACCTTAGACTTAAAAGTATTCATATAATTTTCATGTTTAAGTTGCAGATGCCTTTTGATGAATTTGCCAGTGTGCAAATTTGCTACATCCTAGCAGCCGGAGTGAAGAGGAAGCGTAGCTATAACTGTTAATAGCCCAGAGAGCCTAGCAGAATTGTGCCGGATGCCATGAATATTAATGACACAGGTTTGAACTGTTTACCAAATATTGACTCAGCGAGCGGTTCTATCTAACAAATTGCATAAGATCCGCACCGCCGATGGATAATGTCCTAAACCAGCCCGTCCACTAGTGTTTTCTAAATACATTTTGACTTTACCAACAACTTTCATGCTATCAGCCGGTATAAGATCCATATGTTTGCAAGCTAAACTGCTTGCAGTGTTGCTACAGGTGTGCCCCGAATCAGCCGGGTAATCAGGATATCCACTACCGTTGGTTCACGAAGCATCCATACCAGCTAGAGCATTCAATTTGGTTTCGAATAAAACATTTACAGGCGAGTCAGCAAGTAAATAATATACGAAGATCCCTCCTTCCATAATATTTCAAATAAGTTCCCTATATGGCTAGTAAATATAGGATTAATTTATTTTTATAAATTAGTACAGACCCCATGCAAGGTCAGTACATTAAATGAAAGGATTTTCAATTTATGTCCCTGTTCGGAAATTAAGCATTGTCAGGCTAGAATACAATAATAATAATAATAATAATAATAATAATAATAATTTGAATTATTTTAAATTGTTTCTAATAGACAGCATAATGAAAGACACTGTTTTGTTTTACTAGCTCATGTTGTACATTGTACGTTTCTGCGGTCTTTATCTTTAAATATTTATTTGCCTTAATTAACCCCATGAAAAATTTTTCTCAATCATTTATTTATATAAATGTGCTATTAATTTTCAGTCTTGTTTGACATATGTAGTTGAAAGATAATCGTTTTCTTTTGATGTTTAGGAAGGGCATTTTTGCACATGGTGGCAGTATTTCATTCTTGACATCTCTTTCCTGTCTGACGATAGCAATGTGATTAACTCATTCTTGTTATCAAATTTATGGTTAGATCCTAGGATTGCGTTCTTTGAATTTGCTATGCTTAGCTCTACCTAATTTCAGTGTGGTAAATTAATGTCTTACGGATTCCCTATGCTCATGTAATTTTCTATCCTTGATTTTAATTGGCCGGTCAGTTTGAAAGTAGGCAGAGTTGTCAAAGAACCGATTTGTGAGTTTTGTAAGGAAGGCAATCTAGGAATATTACTGTGTTATTCAGTTTTGTATTCTATCTACGAAATTTGTTCCAAATTAATTACTTGTGAAATTTAGATTTTTTGACTTACAATAAATTCTGAACTTTAGAACCAACTTTTCAATTGACACAATATACATGGTGAATTTAGTATAATCTAGGAATGTTACACTCTATTCAAAACGCTTAGGAACATAATGAATTAACTTTCATCGTGTAAAACTTCTTTATACTTTTTGGAATAGAAGTAAGGTAGATTCCTCCATGAAAAGGGCATACTTTATGGAATTAATGGATACAACCTTTTGGGTCCGACAGTTCCAAGAGAAAGGGCCGTTATGCAAATATTTTGGGGTTGTTTATATTTGTTGAATTTCTGATACAAGTTTTTTTTTTTTTTTTTTTTTTTTTTTTTTAAAAAAAAAAAAAAAAAAATTTTTAAAAAAAAAAAAAAAAAAAAAAAAAAAAAAAAAAAAAAAAAAAAAAAAATAAATAAATACATAAAATAAACACTCGCATAGATATAAAGTTAAATAATTCAAGGTTGTAATAAGTAGAATTATATCTGACCGTGTGTCCTACTCATGAGCACTCTCCGCATGATTCTTCTTCAATCTTCATAATTATCTGAATATCAATTTATTATACCTGTTTTGTGGAACTAAAGTATGTACAGTAATTTAACTGTACCTTGATCTCAAATGGAGAGAGCTACAATATAGGTCCGAAGATCAAAAATTAGTCAATGTTAATTATTGTTTTGTTCCACTTAAAAAAAAAAATGAATAAAAAATAAATAAATATAAATGAATAAAAATAATAATAATAATAATCTAGCATTTAATTGCTGTGTTTGTTCTACCCCCATTAGTTCGATTCTAGAATGTAGTTTAATTGCGAGTCGGTGTTTAACTTCATTTCTGTTCTATTCATGATAAATAATTAGATACTGTAATGTAGTTTAAATACAGGTCAGTGATTTAACTGCTGTTTTGTTCTACTCGTGAAAATAAGTAAGATATTAGGATGTAATTTAAATGCAGGTCAGCGATTTAACTGCTGTTTTGTTATACTCACGATAAATAGTTTGATACTCACTAAGTGTGTAGTGTAAATACAGGTCAGTGATTTAACTGCTGTTTTGTTCTATTCATGATAAATAGTTAAATATTAGGATGTAGTTTAAATACAGGTCAGTGATTTAACTGCTGTTTTGTTCTACTCTTACAATTAAAAATACCGTAAGGAACATGTTCATTCCCACATTGACAGGTCAGTGAATAACTGCTTTTGGATATCTAAATACTCCTCGTCTGACTTTGCTTACTTGCTGGCTCAATAAACAATAGTTTTCGATATGTCATTTTCTCTGAAATTAGTTTTCTTCCATACTTACATGTATTACTCAATATTGTTATTTATTAACATTGCTCGGATATTATATTAATACCGGTATTTCCTCCATTATTTTACATGTAACTACATTTTAGTGATAACTGGTAATGAAATAATTAATGAAAGGTAGATTTCTGTTTTTCATTTCATTACTTTAAGATGTTTGGAGAGGCCAGTGATTAACTGCCTTCATATAGATTTGATGTGTGCAAGCTCACCTTGGATGGCACGGATGTGATTTGCATGTCACATCTTACATGGATGTGACCTGCATATCACATCTTGTGGCCTATTTTATTTTGATGTGCCATCTATTTGCTAACTTTTTAATATGATGTTTTGATTGTCTTGTCTTACAGATACTTTTTTCTAGTCAGTTTTGGGGATCAGACATTATCATATTTTACGTAACTGATAAGCAAAGCTTGTGAATCTGATCCCCCTTCTTGTTTGTTAAATTGTTCACATTTATACCGTCATTTTAATAAATGACATTTTTCATCAACATCAAAGTGTTTTATTTGACTTTTACAAAATTAGCAAAAACAAGCTGCGGTGATCTTGCCTATAAGCATTAGAAGACATAAAACATCAATTATTAGGATAATAATTGTATTTATGTATTTAATGCGATAATTTGTTTGGAGGTTTTCGGAACATTTACGTTGGTAAATTGTGAAAATTCTCAGATCCACGCCTTGCCTAATTGTAATGGTATGTGTAAGGTCACGTGGTCAGCTCAGCGAGTCATTCGCACTCGCGCGCTCACCACCGCTAACATGAAGCACGTCTATTTTGAAGACCCACCTCCACCCCAACATTCCTATCCCTTAATATGATCATTAATGTGTCATGTAAAATTTATAATATATTATAGTTTTTACTCGATTGTTTTACGCTTTCATGTATTTGGTTTTGATTATGATCTTTTTGCAAACTTTTTCTTCTGAGGTTTTGATTGTGTCTTTGATGTACCATCTTTTTGCCAACTTTTTCTTGTAATGTTTGCCTATTTTATTTTGATGTGCCATCTATTTGCTAACTTTTTAATATGATGTTTTGATTGTCTTGTCTTACAGATACTTTTTTCTAGTCAGTTTTGGGGATCAGACATTATCATATTTTACGTAACTGATAAGCAAAGCTTGTGAATCTGATCCCCCTTCTTGTTTGTTAAATTGTTCACATTTATACCGTCATTTTAATAAATGACATTTTTCATCAACATCAAAGTGTTTTATTTGACTTTTACAAAATTAGCAAAAACAAGCTGCGGTGATCTTGCCTATAAGCATTAGAAGACATAAACAGTATTATTTAAGAATCATTATTGTACTGGACGATAATAATTCAATTTCGCTTCTACGTATAAAAGATAATAAAATTTTTTCCACCGCAAATATGAACAACAGAGGTTTATAAATGTTATTAATTTTCTGTCCTTGAAAAAGTTAATTACGAATTAGCAACAAAATTGGCCGATATCAAACGTGCAGCTCATATTGATTTAATTTCCTATTGATTACAGATAAACTTTTCTTAAAATTAATTTATTCATATCAAAATATTTATTTAAACAATTTCTTTTTCAGAGCAATGAACCCCTGTTTGCTAATTTATCTTTTGAAATACCAGTGAATGGAAACGTCCAAAGAGCTTCAAAACGATTGATTGCGAATAATGATGTCAACGAAGTTGCCATTAGACACCGACATGAAGAGGAAGACAATCGGGACCTTTATCAAAATACCGACAATATTTATGGTATTGTCAATCTTTAAGTGCTAGGATACAGAAATTGTACTTTTCTTAATAAAGGGAGAAGAGATAGGGAACCGAAAATTACTCATCAATGTCACCCTAGAACAAAGCGAATTTATGCTGTCTAACGTAGGGTCAGAAAGAATTAAAATAAATGATCGCTGTTCTGTAATTCTGTACTTCCTATTTTTCTGATTGATTATCACAGCTCATGGTTTGTGTCTTGATCATTTTTGTTTTCATACATTGTGTTGTAAGGAAATTACATTTATTATCTCTTAAATTAAAGTCATAATATCGTAGTACCATTATATAAAACACAATTATGTATGTATATATTTATGTAAACTATTAAATGTAATATTGTCAAAGCTACCAGTCGTCTATAGATAGGTTCTGCATGTGTATGGATGACTTTGACAATTTTATTTATAATAGTGAAAACTTTAAATTTATTATGAGATAACTTTGAATAAGTATAAGGTTAACATTATAAAAACTTTGAGTTACCATGATTTTTTTTTCAAATGTACCTTGAACTGATGTTTAATAGATGTTATCTCTAAATATTTTCTTTATGTACCTAATGACGCCTGACCCCCTTCCCCACCGTCACGCATATTAATGTATATACCATTAATAAATGATAATAATAAACATAAATTCTATATATTTATTAACCTTCAATCGCAACAAAATCTGCTGAAAAGTTTGCTTTGCCTTTCAAACCAGTTTCGGAATTTGGTTGATTGAACTTTTTTTATATTGTAATAGTACATGCCTGATGAAACTTCAAGCATAACAAGAAGAATGGACAGATAGATATTCTATATTTAAAAAAAGGTGGGTGCTCATTGTCCCATGAACGTTAAATTCTGATAAATTTCATTAGGTTGTAGCTAATTCATATAAAAAAAGTTTCAACTTTATACATTTTATTCATTTTTTGTTATTCATGAAAATTTAGCATTGAAATATATAAAAAACTAGTGCTAATTGTAACGGGGACCGTTACAGATGTTCCCCAAACGCTCCCCAACTCCCTTTTGGTGCCACATTCCCTGGAAGCTTCATTAAATAAGACAAACTCGATGCATTTGAGACTTAAAAACGTTTACCCAGAAGTGTACAAAGTTCATTCAAATTTTAGCATTGCACGCGTGCGCATGTGAATGCATGTGCGTAATGACCATATCATCTTGTCTACACAATCTATATATTTTAATATACTTAATATTAAAGTATTTAATCCAAAAGTATTAAAAAAGATACGCTCATTCAAGTGTTTTTTTTATTTTGCTCATTTCACGTGCACGCACGTGCATACATGAGCATGGTGGCCATACCTTCTTGTAGATGTCCGTTACATCTATCTATGTTCTAAATCCTACCCAGTTTGGTTGAAAACCAAGGGAGTTATAGCTGTTTAAAGTTTCAGCCAATCAGATTGCAGCGCACATACATGCACGTGTATGCATGTGCATGGTGACCATACCCTCTTGTAGTAGTCCAGTATATCTATCTATGTTCCAAATCCCATCCTGTTTCGTTGAAAATCAAGGGAGTTATAGCTATTTAAAGTTTAAGCCAATCAGATTGCAGTGCACGTGCATGCACGTGTTTTCATGATAATTGCTATATGTCATGTTGTAGGATATCCTAATGCATGGCTATTTTCAAAATTTCAAAGAATTTCGTCAAAATACAAGAAAGATATTGAGACTTTAGTTTTAGCCAATCAGAGCAAAGCGCACGTGCATGCGCGTGAGATCTTGCTATTTTGACCATGTCATATTGTCTATGCTACTAATATATCCTTATATTATAAGTTTCAAAGCATTTCATCAAAAATTTAAAAAGTTATGCCTATATCAATTAAATCGGTCATTACACATGTTGCACGTGCACGCTCTTGCAAGCACGTGCGCGCAAAATGACCTTCGTTCCGCAAATCTACATAACATGTCTACTGACCCTAAAAACATTTCACCTTAGTCGGATGTATAGTTTACGAGATCATTCCCGGACAAAAAAGTACCCAGGAAGAAGAAGAAAAATAATAATAATAATAATAATAAGAAACAGAGTAAAAACAATATGTTCCCCAACTTCGTTTGGGGAACATAATAACGGAGAGAATTCAAGATCAAAGTCCATTCAAGTCCAGTAAGCAATACAGAATTGAAGCAGAGAAAACACAGACCTCTAAAACATATTCCTCTTTTGTAACATAATTCGGACGGACAAAAATCATTTCATACTGGTAATATTTTGTCTTCTTGCGGCTCCAAATGACTGGCTATCTGAAATTTTAATTTTTCCACGACTTTTTACGATGACTGTATTTATTCATTGAAACAAGATGTTGGCTTTGATTTTACATAACTCCTACATAAGTCAAGCAATAATGTTTCTAAATCTAAATGGGGGCCTAGGAAAAATCTACAGTATTTATCCTATAGAATTTAAGTAACTAACGATAGTAAACTTTTCAATTTGAATATTAACTCATTTCAAACGTCTAAGAATCACAAATTCCAATTGTACACCAATTACCAAACCATAGATATGTTGTACAAAAACTTAAATAGGAATAATCTCTTTTTCTTGAAGTCAATTTCAATTTTGTAATGCAATCTGTCATTCAAAATGAAAAGAAAATATTGATTTATGGAATTTGAAACGAATAATTCATTGTATCAGTTAACAATTGTCAGTTGTTACAACCAGTCTGTCTGCATCCATTAGTTTTACGTACTGCATACTAATTGTATTGACAACAGAATGAAGAACTCCCCGAAATTAATAGGTTAGTATCATGGTCATTTGAAATTTAGATTATAATTTGAATATTGTTCAGTACAAAAATATAATATAGATTTTTAAAATGATGACCAAAAAAAAAATTAAGATAGGTTTCATCAGTTCAAGAATTTTTAATGAATGAGACAACATTAACTTATATAAACAGTATTTAATGAGATCAATACAAAAAACTTTATATATTATTAGTTACACGGTCGGTTAGTGACCAAATACAGATTCATACAGGGTATGAAATGGAAATCCGTATTGGGCGAGGCGAAGCCGAGACCCAATACAGATTTCCATTTCACACCCTGTATGAATCCGTTTTAGGTCACTAACTGACTGTGTTACGAATTTATCCCGCTGAAGACCTTTTTCAATATAAAACAATGTTTATGCATATTATAAAAATATTAAGTTTTAATCCAATAACAATTAGCATAACATATCGCTACGGTATTAAGAAATTTAACAAAACTACCTAGGTTAACCGTTTCTTAGCCGCTATTTTTATTTACAATATCAACGCTTCGAACTGAATCGCGTGCCCGATTTTCGACGGAGACGTAATATGGAAACGGAGACGTAATACGGAAAATTTCAGGGCGTCATATGATTAGCTTTTATCCAAACAGTAATCGACAAATTTGTCTGAAGAGGGATAAAGATGTATATCATGCCTGCATGAATTGTAGATTCTATAGATCAAATTCTGATTTGCATATATGTGCATATTAAGCATGTACCATTAAAAGTCAAACGAAAGGTAAAAAAATTACAACCAAACAGTAACAGTCCAGTCCAATTCGAAAATTCGTAATATTACGAAAAAACGTAAGATTATGAGAAAGCGTAACCTTACAAGTTATCGTAATATAAAACTTATATTACAATTTTCCGTAATGTAGTTAAATTACGAATATGCGTGATATAGCAGATGTAAGAGATTATATTACGAATTTTCGTAATCCAAGACAAATTCAAGCATTGCAAGAAATTGAGTGGCGGGTAGCAAAGTATAACGTTTACTACGAGATGTCACGGGCGATAACTTGTACGACCCTTACTGAGATTTGAATTCTGTGTATTTCAATAAGAATTGCACGAACAGTTGAATTATGAGACGAAGGTGTGATTTTTAGGGTAGACTTCGCGAGAAAAGTAGGAAGTTTGGGTGATATAGACCAATGCGACATGCATAAGCGAATATTGAAATTTACTGGAAAATTGGTCTTATCCTTGGGAAAATTCCTATAAAAGAATAATAAAAGAAATTGTCCCCTCACCCATCGCTGGCAGTACTTTCTTCTTGAATTTTCAAATTTCTATAGATGTAACTGACCAAACTGACCGCGTGCTATCAGTAGCCATGGAATCTGATATATTACTGACGTAATACTCCGCTACCCACAACTCAATTTCTTGCAATGCTTGAATTTGTCTTGGATTACGGAAACTCGTAATATAGTCTCTTACAATCTGCTATGTAACGCGTATTCGTAATTTACGAAAAATTGTAATATAAGTTTTATATTACGATAACTTGTAATATTACGCTTTTTTGTAATCTTACGCTTTTTGTAATCTTATGTTTTTTCGTAATATTACGAATTTTCGTATTGGACTGGACTGAGTAATGCATGAAGAAAACAATAACAAGAAAACAAAAAAAAAATCTGTAAAATTGACAGAACAATTCAACATCTTCCTACAAGATGTGCAGAAGTAAAAAGTCAACAACAATGTTAGAATAATCTATTTTAATCTACAGCCAAAGGACAAGAATTTGACCTTGAATAAACAGCAAATATTAATCAAAGAATGAGATTAAACTAAAAAACGTAGATTAAACAAAAAAAACAGACCACACAACAACAATAGAAATCATTTTTAAAAATAAAGCATAACAGCAAAATTAAATAACAGACAATTCATTAATAAAACCGACAAGACAACAATAGTTAAAAGTCTAAATAAAAAAGTTATCAAAACAGGAAATTAAAAAAAAATAATTTAAAATACACGAAGAACAACAGTAAAAGTCAACAACGGTATATTTAACATACATATGCCCTAACATACTAAGATATCATTAAAATATAATGGAAGAAGTAGTGGATTTTTTCATCAAAAATGTTTCAATCCTCGTATTTTACAGGCGGATGTGTTACAGGCAACTGGCTAGATGGTGCTGGGTATGGTTTGGGAGAAACTTGCGTGTACCACTTCCTCCTTGTGCAGTCCAGAATATGGTGAATACCAAGGATTCCATATGGCCTAATTCCTCCAGAACGTTGTCAGCAGCTGACCCACCAAATCGTCTTTCTCGGGGTGTACATACTGGTCACACAGTGGCAACTCCAGGATCCCCAAATTGTGGCATCTTCATGTTGATAGCCCTTTTCATAGCAGCATTTGTAAGAACATCGACATACCCTGAAAAAAGAATTTATGTCCATCAAATCTAAATGATTATATGTTAAAATTGTACCTGTTACTTTTATCCGATGCTAATTTTTATCTGTGATATAACAATGAAGATATAAAATAAATTAACCATAAGTACCTTTCGTCTTCACCTTCGTCACAGTGTTGTCCCTCTTTTAGTGCTTTGGAAATACAATGCTGTATTGAAGATTCCCCTCTAGTGTGGCTGCCTGATCCTTAATGGAATTTTCGTTGTAGTGAAGTGCTGCTAAGGCCAAGCTATGAATGAAAACATTTTGTTAATAATTTATTGGTCAATCATATTATTTCCTATATGTGAATTTCTCTTTATAATGACTGAGTATAAGATATATAAATGGTAAAAGGATTGCTCAATGAGCAAGACAACATACCGACTTTGCATTCCAATGTAGGACAATTTAAACATTTATGGCGCAAACTGGTTTATGATTGGATGGAATGCCTCTACATTTGAAGTTCGAAATGATGACCAGAGCATGGGGATGTCCTCTTTCATCTGCCCTCAATGGTTTCAAATGTCTCCATCACTTTGGTTCCTGAAAGATACAAACATATTTCAATTTTAACTTTTTTGTTTTAGAAATCTAAATATAAAAAAATCGTTATATTTTTTTTTTACATTTCAAACACGTTGCACTAAGTCATCCCCCACTCGTAAATATGTTTTGATTCATTAATAGATAAATAATAGCCCTAATAGAACTTGGGTGATTGTAATAAAGGATCTTACATGTACCTGGTCTCAACCATCCCTTCCGTCTAGTAAGTGGGAAAAGGTCCAAAGGTTCGTATTACTGGCTTGGTCCATTTTTCTCTTTTGAGCTCACTGTCTTTCTCATCAAGTGCTGAGGACGATACCAAATACAATTGGTTTACCAGACTTTTTATCCACTCTCGCAGTTGAGGGCCAACAGCGTCTACAAAAATCCTTTAATTTAAATTATAATATTTATGTTCAGTCTGACTTATAAAGTTACCACTTAACGCTACTTTTACATTTATCATGATTTATGTGCAATATTTTTCCATCAATTGAAAATGTAACGATTTATTAAAGTGGGGAAACCTTTTGCTACATGCAACACATCGATGCTATGCGTCGTTCTTACGCATTCATTTCGCAACTTGAAGATGTCCGTTAGTCACTATCTTGCTAAATCCATTTGTTCCATGTAACGATCTCCTCGGATTAAACCCTCTTTCTCCATATCGCAACTCCCACCTACTTCGTTACTCTGAAATGGATTTAAAAATAAATTTCCGTTCCAGTATCACTTTAATTTACAACACAGAAAAACAACAAATTCTTACATAATAATAAAACAATTTAAATAACAGTTAATCACCTATAATTGTATTTGCCTTTATGAGTTGCAGATCACCCACCACATTCTCTTCGAGGTCAACACATTAGCGTGTTGCTACCAAATTTAGCACAATGGCCAGTGGAACGGCATGCTCCATCTCCACCTAGATGTAACTGCCGTCCCGACGCCCATACTTGTTGTACATAAGAGGCTTGCTGGTCTCCCTTTACTTCGAACACTACTGGATGGAGGTAGCACTGTTGGTGATACATAAAGGTCCCGTATGAGATGGAAGCCATGTTCAAGAACTTAAACATTCTGACTGCTTTGCTTGGAAGAGATCCTAAAAAAAAATACACAAAGAAATGTCAAAATAACCCGCTGGAATGCTACCAATAAGGGGCTGGCTACTAAAAGTCCGCTGGTAGAGACAAAAACTGCAGTCTTGCTTGATGGAAATGTAGGAACCATATGATTATGGTATTAT